ATTCATCGCTTATTGGCTGTTCCTTAAAAAATTGCATTGAGTGGCGGTCTTCTTGAGAAGCTATTTTATGGAGCCCAACGTTTCAATATCGAGTTTACAAGAGCCTGCCGCCGGTCCCTGTGCTGAGTCAGGGGTACCCAGTTCTCACCCCCGAACTTTATTTCCCTAAGTTTTTAAAATTCCCCTCCCATCTATGCCTAGACACAGAAAGAAAGCAATTAGGCACGCTACAACATTTTGGAAACAATTAGCGCTACACATATTTCTAGCTGCCAGTTTTATTTGTAGCCAAAAGATGTCGGAATATGCCACTGAAATTATATTTTCAATTTATTTCAAAGAGAATTTTTTTTTTTTTCGTTCTCACCGACAAGCACTTAGTGTACTGTAAGGAGAGGTACATAAAAACAGTTTTTAAATAATCTACACGAACTGTGGTTTGTAATATTTTAAAAATGTAACCTTGTAGAAGTTGGCTAATAATACACTGATGTCTATACGTCACTATTCGCAGGTGGTGGTGCGAGAGTTGAACCGGCTCGGTATGCTAGTGGACCTGTCTCACGCAGCACACGAAACCGTTCTCGCTGTACTCGAGACCACACGTAGTCCTGTAATATTTTCACATTCTTCTGCGCAAGCGCTGTGCAATACCTCCCGCAACGTTCCAGACCACGTTCTAAGGCTTGTGGTAAGTAATTCTATACTTTACAGTCAGTCTACTGAGAGTTATGTTAGTACCTCAAATGAAAATGAATAGCTGTCCTAACTGCTTTCACGTAACACGCGGTTCTGAGAGAGAAGGTAAGCTGTCTTAGCGGCGGTACGCCTTGTTACAGCTTCTTGTCGCACTCCTAATTTATCGACCAATGCCCGCTGTGCTTGACTGTATACCGTTCAAGCGAAGCGGAAAAAACTGGAACTAAGTTCTGACGGTGGTGGTTCTGGTAGCAAGAACTGTAAAGATGCTATGTGATGTCTATGGTGGGGATGGCAGAGTCTGCTTTTGGTGGGAGTCTAGATTCAGGGGATTGGTTTTAGTTGATGGATTTGGCACGAATTTGGCTTCAGTCGCCGCAAAGATGTTTTCACTTGTAACTTACTTCAAATAAATTTTATAAATTTTGCACTTTCAATGCCATTTTCAAAGATAATTCTCCAATAAACTGTATCAATATTAAATACACAGATATTCATGCTACGCTAGTGCAATGAGAATGAGTTTCTGGACAAATTAACAGGGACGGTAAAAATAAAGGCGTTTATGAAAAATATTCTGCTGTGCTAACTTTGTTTACTTTGTGATACTAATATTGGATAAAGGTGTTGAACGATATTACAGTCTAGTTAATCGGCTACCGAAGCGTGCGCTGCACCTTCTTCCAGAAACCGCTATAAAAAATCGATTAAGGCTTTCGATATGCTAGAAAAGGTTCTGTGGGAAAGGATCCAGGCAGACCTAGGGTATGTCGATATATCGTAATATTTCGGCAGGGGTTTCAAGCTATTTTACAGTAAGAATTTCAGGAAAGGATTTTTTTCGAAGAAAATGAAAATACTTTTTCGTGCATAAATTCCCATACCGAATATTATTCTGAAATTTATGCTCCACTCGAATAATTATATTTTGCAAGGGCGTTCTTTGCAATTCCTCATACTCTTTGAGGTCGTATAAAGTTCATCTACTACAGACACTACTGTGGAGAGCATAAATCATCTTTATTTCTTTTCTGTTACATATTCGCTATATGGGAAAAACATTACAATAAGAGCTCTAGATCATAATTAGGTCTATATTATACATATTTTTAGGCTTACCATGCGCCATTTTTATAAATTCCATAGCATCTTCATGGAAGCTAGGATTTATATTAACTAACTAACTAGATGGCTTACCGAACCCGAAG